AGGGTCAGCAGGGAGGGCTTACCTCAGGGACTGAGGGTTCCAGCCTTCAGGACTTTGAGCTGATGGAGCAGCCCAAGACCCACAAGCAGGCAAGGGAGGGAAGTCAACGGCCTTCACGGTCCCAGGCTCTTTTGTTTGATGTTTTAAAAGATTTCATTTTTATATCTCTTTTAATTTTTTGAGGTTTTGTTTTTATTTCAAGTGTATGGATGTCTTGCCTAAATAAATGCCTGAGTACCACGTCCATGCAGTGTCTGAGGAGGCCAGAAGAGGGTGTCAGTTTCCCTTGTAAATGGAGTTACAGGAGTTATTGGCCACCACATAGATGCTGGGAATTGAATGGGAGTCCTCTTAAAGAATGGTCAGTGTTTTTGTGTTTTGTTTTGCTTGTTTTAACTGCTTATTCATTTTCTTCAGTTTGTGAGGCAGGGTCTCATTATGTAGACTGAGCTGGCTTTGAACCTATGGAGTTCCATCTGCTTCTGCCTCCCAAGTGCTGGGATTAAAGCTGACTCCATACCTGGAGTCAGGCGGGTTCTCTACATCTCCACAGAGCCCTGTCACCATGGAATACTGCACAGTGCCAGTCTCTGGGCTCCAGAAAAAGCAGAGGCCCTCTGTCCACTTGAGCCACACACTCCAGGGAGAGTTGCCCAGAGTTCCACAGAAGGAAGGTCCAAAGACAAGCCTCTGCAGGCAGAAAAGACACCTTCCAGTTTGTAGTTGCAATTGCAGACTCATGAGACCCCAGGTGACACATGGGGAAAATGTCTGCACCCCACCGAGGCTGCATCCCTCAAAGACAGAGTAAAACGCCTAAGTTATCTGCAAGTGATGACTTTGAGGAAATACTAAGGGACTACAGGAGAGGGTGCAGGACCAGGGTGCAGTGAAACTGACACAATGCACCCTGTCCTGTCCAAGCAGGGCACAGAGAGGCCCATTTATGGTTTAGTGAGTGTATCATGAGCTTAATCTCATCCTTGGCTGTAATCCTAAGCCTCTTTCTTGATCTCTCTTTCCTGCCCCCAATCCCAGCCAGTCCTCAGGCTTGTCTGATTCTAAATGCTTGTGTAAAACTCACTCTGAGGATGCTCTGTTTCCTAAAAGACAACACTGTGCAAACGGACGGAGATATACTTTAAGCAGTTGATCAGAAATCATAGGAGAGTCTCTAAGACAGATCAGGGAGTAAAGGTGCTTGCTGTCTGGAGTCTAACCCAGGACACACAGGGTGGAAGGAGAGAATCCCACCATGTTGTCCCCTGACTTTCACACGTACACCACAGCACCAGGAAGGGCAGGGCAGCCTCAAATTTACTACCCTGGAGTCTCTTCCTGCCTGTGTGCCCTTCCCACTGCCTGGGTTTCCAGAAGTGAATCAACCCAGCTGACATCAGTGTCCCCATCCAAGAAAGGAAAAGGGCTTGCCAAGAACACAGAACAGCTGAGGCGTCCTGGATCCAGGGACACAGTGAGGAAAGAGGAAACAGGAGAAGTCTGTTTTTAAACAACACGGCGACAAGCATGTTTTGTAGGTGCCTGAGCTGTCAACCCCATCCTGAGCTGTGATCTCCCATCAGTTCCAGGAAAAAAAAGAAAAAGAAAGGAAGGAAGAAAGAACAAAAGAAAAAAGATCAGTTCTCAGGAACGCATGTCCTCCCAAGCTCAGATCCAGGACCCAAACTGAAGTAAGCAAAACCCAACACTGCACATCCTCTGCAGTAAACACCCTCTGTAATGTCCTTCAGTCAAGGCAGCCCATGTCTGGCCTCAGGCCTCCAGCTCTCCACTACAGCTCATGCTTTATGGCTGTTCGTTAGATGGTCTCTGGGTGCCACCTAGATCATCAGAGGCGAACCCTATTTTCACAACTGTCTGATGATGTCTTGAATTCAGTTTCAACTGCTTTCCAGACACAGTTATTTAATTCTGTCTCCTTCCCAACGAACAAGTGTAAGACCACAGGGCAAAACACAAAACCTAGCCCTGGAGTGAAGGTTTCAGAATCCCTGGACAGCTGTCTTGGGGGCCTTTGGAGAGGTCTGGCTGTGGACAGTCCTCTCTGCTGGGGCTGCAAGCTCATCACTTCTAGCCTAATATACAGCAAGTCACGAAGTTATCTCAGGTGTTACTAGAATCTTGGCTGGTGCCTACTCCCTCATCACCCTCCTGAGCCCTTGATAAAGCTGGAGCAGAGGACAGGCCAGAAGGCCAATCCTTGCCTTTCCATCCACTCCTCATTCCTCCCAAGGAAGAGCACGTCAGAGAGACATCCCGAAAAGCGAGAGGGCAGGGGACATATTCAATATTCCAGAAGTAAATCTTCAGTCTCTTAACAACCCAGGCTTTTCAAGGAGGCTAAGAGCCAGCAGCACACCCATTCACAGAGTTAAGTCCAAGACAGCGGATGTTGCTTGGCTATGTGGGGCCTCACTGACCCCACTGGCATCAAGAGATACACGGGAAAACTCCAAGCAGTTGGGTGCAAAGCTCCCCAACAACAGGATGCAGAGCAGAGTGCTTGGGGAGCGGGGGAGAGGTAGCCGGCACCCATCCTGGATCTGTTATCTACGAATCGAAAGACCCCGGGGAAAGCTAGCCTTCTTCTGTGCCTTGGTCTCCACATCAGCACACCAAGGCGATAACTGAACCTCCCCGAGGGCTTGTCAGTGAGCATGAGGCAGCCCAACACAAGAAGGAATCTAAGGTGGGCCTGGAGCCGGCTGGCAGGAAGGAAGGCATCCAGGAGGCGGCGGCAGTAGCTTTACACCCCAGCGCTCGACAAGTGTCCAGGCCCCATGTCTCCATAGCTGTCTGGGAAGCTGGAGCTCCGGCAGACTGCGCCTCGGGACCAAGGCCAACCACATCCCGGGGGATTCTGAGCGGACTAGGTTCCCCGAGGCCACCCGCCCCGCCCGAACCTCCACCGAGCCCTCACAATCCACCGGCGCTGCGCGGACTACGAGGCCCGACGTGCCCCGCTCCAACCGCGCAGCGCCTACCGGGAGCTGGAGTCCGACAGCCGGCTCGATCCCGTACCTTAGCGCTGCACACACTATTAGTCCCAAGAGGCTGTGCGGCGACCCGTGAGGCTGTGCGCATGGCCCGCGCCCCCGCCCTTCGTCCTTCCCGCCGCCCCCGCTGGCCGCCAGCGCCCGCTGCTCTGGCCACCCTCTCGAGTACCCGGCCCGTGTCTACCTATATCAATGGCGAAGCGCTTGGCGTTCTCCAGGTTGCGGAAGATCTCGTCGGGAGGCAGCGTGATGCTCTTGTCCAGACTGTCCCCGCCGCTCCCGCCGCCGCTCGCTCCACGCTCCGCCATTTTGAAAGTGCCCGGCCAGCCTCATCAGCCATGGAAATATATGCGCATATAATTGACTGCTAAACGACCGCGTGCATAAATTATGCTAATGATATCCCCGCCCCCTCCGCCAGTGCTGGAGACCAGGCCACCCGACCGTCCTAGACAAGTGTCCTAGAGGCCAGGACGGTGGAAGAGAGGGCCGTTATTCTCCCAAACTACCAATATGAAGCTTCTGGAATAGTATTCTTTCGCTGAGCTGGCTAGATGCTAACTTGGGTTGAGCCTGCGGATCCTGCTTTCAGATCTCCTGCTGTGAGGTTGGCCCTGCAAAGCTGCTGTGATTTCTGCTAGGGTGACCCACCATCCTGGTTTCCCAAAGACGAGGGACCTTCAGTGCTAAAACTCTCGTGTTAATGGGAGTAATTTTGAGGACCCTACATTCCAGGAGTGCCCAGTCATGGAGAAGGAATATGGGATAGAGTCATATGTCTGCAGCTGAGGAAGATCTGGCACTTTAATGGCAATCTGCAGAAAGTATAGGGGGACAGAGGAGAGGGTGCCTGGAAGAGGGGCTGGGGCTCCAAAGTGGAGGTGATCTGGAGTTCCTGTTAAGTCCCTTGAGAGAGAGCACTGTGTCCTCCAAGGGGCCCATCAAGTAACTTAGTATCTTGCTCTCAGGTTCTGTCTGCAGGTTGTCGCTTACTGACTTGCCAGTCTCCTGGAGCACAGAGTCGAGGCCATGCACAGGCTCAGCTGCCAGATATCTGGATTGATTGGGGACGAGGCAGCCTTGTATGTGCCTGCCAACAGAATGGGCATACTCTGCAGCAGGGTTGCAGGGCTCCTGAGAGTGAGATGACCCAGCACTTTCAGTCCCTGTAAGTGGGATATGCCCGGCCTGTGTTTAGAAGGACACTCCACGAGGACAGTGGCCTCCTCCCCTGTCATAGATGTTCCGCTGCTCCTGTGGTAAGCTAATTGAGTGTAGATGAGGTTCTCTGTCCTTGCCTACTAGATATGGGCCTCAGCAGGGTGTTTGATGAGAACTGCTGGATGGGAAGAATCCAAGTTGGGGCAGGGGCCACATCTGTGACTTGCCATCAGAAGACCATGCAGACACACCCAGCTCCTCCCCACTTCTTGCTCCATGGGTTTTGCCTTTGAGACCCCTGGAAGCTGTGGTTCTAGAGCCCTGTGAACTTGGCCAACCTGCTATAGCCTGCCTTAAAGCAGACACCCTGCCCTAGACATTGGACTGTACCTACCGGGTTCATGGCTTGAATGGAATGGATCAGCCCTGGCCCTGGTGGGTCACCTTGTGGGAGGGAGGGCGTTTATGAATTAGCTAAGCAGGTGAACTAAGGCAAGCGGGAGCTGGAACGGATACTTTCTCAGGTTTGGCATTCACTGAGGCTTTCAGCTTCCTCTCGGCAGCGGACAGAGCAGAGGCTGGACAGTTGTTAGGATCCCTTCCCCCACCCTCTCCTGGGAGCTATGGGGAACTCCTTGCTCACCACAAGAGCACCAGCAGCTCCGTTCACCTCCTGCCCTTCCCTTTTCTCTATGTCAGAGGACCACCAGCAAGCACCCCTCCTGATCCCGGTGTGTGAACATGGTAGATCCTACTGTTCTACCTCCGGTCACGGGGCAAGCCACCCCTATGGCTGCCGAGGACAGACGAGAGGCACAGACATGGAGGGCTTGATGTTTTATTGGAAGCCTTCAGAACAGCCTGTGTTCTCCCACATGACCATGAGTTCAAATTCTTAAGTACAAAATCGTGCCCACATGCACCCACCCATACAAAGGAATCCTTTAAGGATCGTCGCGGAGACCCCACCCTCCCAGACAGCCCCACTGTGAGCACGCATCAGACAGCCAAGGCCATGTGGACCTTGAGGTGAGGTCCCATGGGCCCTACGCCCACGCAGGCTGAGTGCTTTCCTATGAGGAAACACCTGCAGTTCCGCCTTCACAAAAGGCAAATGTGCCCAGGGCACAGCCCGCCTGCAGGGTGCTTGCCCAGCAGCAACAGGCCCTGAAGAAAGTCCTCTACGGGCTGGGGTGAACCAACCCCCGACTCTACAAATATCATAGAACCCCCGGTAGTGACCGAGAACTTCGCAGAAGTCACTTGCTGAAATGCAAACACAAAACAACCCCACGGGGTCGGACAGGCGGCAGAAGGTGGGCCCTGATTATACCCAAATGACAACTCTGCACACACATTCTCTAAGAATGACCCTCCTGCTGGCCAGCCAGCCTGGGGAGGGAACCTTCGGAAGAAGGTAGCGGCCAACCTGGGACGGAACTGAGGCTGGGGAATGTCTTCCCACATCCAGAGGAAAGAGCTCTTCCTCTGGTCCGCTCCAGGCACCCGACGGCCGCTGGGTCACCAGGGCCGCCAGAGGCCGCAGGCGGGTTGGCGCGAGTTGGAGACGGCGGCAGCGGCCTTAGCAGAGGAGCGTGCCGGCTGGGGCGCAGCGCCGGGCGCCGGGGGCTCCTTGGCAGGCGCGGCGGAAGCTGGAGGCCGCTGGAAGTGGTAAAGCAGCTTCATCTGCGTGTCGCTGGCAGCATGCAGGGTCAGGAACTGCACCGCCTCTTGCAGGCACCACGAGTAGCCCTCGCTGTAGTCCTGGTGCAGGCTCTTGGGGCCGGCGGCCGCGGCGAAGGCTGTAGGGAGACGGAGCGGCATGAGTGGGGCGCGCGCGGTGGGAGCCACACTGGTGGGGAGCAGGAGGCGGGCGCAGACGCCTGGCTCACCTTTGCTGTGCTTCAGGTAGCTGACGGCCATCTCCAGGATGTCGGCCTTCTCCAGTTTGGAGTTGGGCTGGTGCCGCGCGAACTCCTGTTCCAGCAGCAGCTTCAGCTGCTCTATGCTGCTGTTGATGCGGTCCCGACGCATCTTCTCCACCACCGGCTTCCGCAGCTGCGGGAGGAGAGGCGTCAGGTGGGCGGCGGACGCCGGAGGCCCCGGGGGAACGGGACGGCGTGCGCCGGGCGAGTGGCACTTACTCGGTTTTTCTCCTTGGGACTGAGCATCTCCACCGCCACGGTACTTGGGGCCATGCCTGGAGCTCTGGAGGCGATTGGCGAGCGGAGCGGAGCGGGCAGAGCCAGGCGTCCCGGGCTGGCGCGGCCCGGATCCCCGCACGCCAGCCTTATATAGGCACGGGCAGCGGCCCGGCGCCTGGGGTCCGGGCGCCGCGGCCGTTCCCACACTCAGCGGCCAATGACGGCGCCGGCCGCACAAAGGCGCCGGCCCATTAGCGCACGCTAAATTGCCTGTGAATTGGCGCGGGCACAATGGTCGCTCCCCGAGGAGCAGGTGGGCCGCGCGGCACAATGTCCGGGCTGTGGGAACGCGCTCGCCCTCATTAGCATCCCGGGGCCTGATGCTGAGAGCCCCGCGCCTCAATATGCTGCCTTTTCCCAGGCCGCGGGGAGGTGGGGAGGGCAGGAAGGAGTGCTCCCCCCTTCTCCCTTCTTCCCTCCCACTCCCCAGAGACTCCCCACCGCTGGCTGGCAGAGGCCACAGGCGCAGAGAAATGAGAGTTTTACAATGAACAGACAGCGGCTTCTAGAGGAGTGGGCACCCTCCCCAGCTGGGACCTGTTGCCCACAGGCACAGTGGGTTAAAGTGGGCCACACTCCCTCAAACAGATGCTGCCCTCATGCCATTCGCGGGTAGAGGATGAGAGAGAGACTCAGGTGTTTAGGATTTAAGACTTAGGCACTTTATTGCCAGTTCCCCAAACTGTCAGTTGAGAGGAGTGACTTCTCAGCAGCTAGAAATGGCTAAGTGTGGAGGCTGCCAAGCATACTTCCAGGCTAGCTGAATTTGCTTTGGATAGTGCCTAGCATGAAGCCCCAAACCCAGGAAGCCCACAGGAACCCCTGCACCCACAGGGCATCCGGGCTGCTCTTGGGTCACCAGGTGCCACAATGCATCTCTGAAACAGGAAGATCATGCCTTCATGCTGTCTGTGACCACTACTCCGGTGGGGCTTCTAGGAAACCTTGGCTGTCCTTAACGCCTTTCATGCCCCAACCCACACGTGTGTGTGTGTGTGTGTGTGTTCCAGTTTCACTCAGCATTTTGTATGGGCAGGTATAAGGTGGGAGACCTGAGAACAAGCCCCCATGTGAATGCTGTGCCGACGTGGATGAGCCCCTTTGGAAGAATGGATAACTGTGGTGCCTAGCCAGGTGACCTTGCTAGTCCCACCCTGGACACCTGGGGGATGGCCACGTGGGAACATCCTTCCACCTGGAACCTGTTCTATGTCCCCAATACTCTTCAGGGCCTGCAGCCTGTGCTTCCTCCTAGGGGCAACCTAAGACCTAGCCACATCCAAAACAGGAGGCTGACATCAGAGCACAATAGCCAGTGTGGAATGAAACCAGGTTCTCTGGAAGGAGATCAGCCATGTCTGAGCTCAGGAACCGAAAGGCCTTCACAGTGCCCACTCAGGAAATGCCCTCCTGCTACGGTAGTGACCCACTGCTGTAAGTGATCTATTCGCCAGGCCAGAAGTTCTTAGCACAAGGGGTTGTTGGGTTACTGTGGATGGAAGCATCTGAGACAGAGGGGAAGGCTGTAGAGTGCAAGATATAGGTGCAGAATTCACCTCCCTTAGCCCTGTGACACCCCTCACCCTGAGCTCCTCTCTGAGGGGCTTGTTTGATGTAGAAGGTCAGAGGTACCCTGTAAGCTCAGCACAGAGGCTCAGTCAGGGCTATATGCCTGGGCTTCTGCTTCTGCAGCCCCGAGGACTTAGCAGTGGCTGGCACTGTGTGGTAGTCAAGCAGCACCCCCAGACTACAAGGCAGGGGAATCTTGGTGGTGCTCAGTGGAATCCTGTTTGCAGCCAACAAGAAGCTTACACCACATGGCAGTCAAATTTAGTCATGTTGTGGATCCTGGATCCCTGGGAGTGAGGAGGGCAGGAAAGCCTAGTCTACCTGTGTGCCTGTCCTGTGTGCCCTGTGGGAAGAGCTCAGGAGCCTGATTAGGTGTTCCGAGGACTGAGGGAATGCAAACAGACCAGGGAGGACCTGAAACCCACCAACTAGAAACAGGGCTGAGTCTCTGTGTGCCCTGACCATTGCTCCTGGCTGGTGGCAGCAAGGACCCGAGACTGTACCCAGATATGGAGGTCATCTAGGCACAGACTTGCTCTCCAAGACTTTGGTGGGGACAGTTGGCTAAGGCTTGTGTTCTGTACTCCCAGTAACCTCCCCAGAGCCAGCTCCTCACCCAAATGAGACGCGTGCCAGGAGATATGGTCCAACCTCCATCCCACCCCAACCGCCCACCCGCGGTGGGTTAGGAGAGCCGGCCTTCCAGAGGTGAGGGTGGTGGGTGGGCCACGGGGAGGGCTACCCCCTCCCTCGATCCTCCTCACCGCCCCCCCCCCAACCCTAGCAGCTTTGATCCAATTTTCAGTTGTGGGAAATATGAAATGAATGGTGTTAAATCCCAGCCGGATGAAAGGCTGGTTGCCTCCCCGAGTGCGGGCCAGATGGCAGCCCAGGCGGCCTCTGAGGCACACGCCTGGCCTTTGTGGGCCGTTTAACACTGTGAATGGGGCCAAAGTGTGGGAAACTCTCTGGGCTCCTGGCTCACACCATCCGATTTGAGTAGCTGCAAAGGGGGAGGGGTAAAGGCTGCCTCTGGCTGGCGGGCTTTGCCCGGCAGAAGCACTGCAAGGTGGGGGAGGGGCGTTGGGTTCCTCCTGCCACCGCAGCCGCATGGGGCAGGATAGGAGTCCTTCTCTAGTTTGCTCTTCCTGTACCTTTCAGAGCAACCCACCTGAGCGCTCATTAAGTCTGGGAGAAGGGACAGTAGTCGAGGCTGGGCAGGGTCTGGAGTTGGCAAGGCCCCTATATCAATTGCTCACGCTACTTTATACATCAGGGTGGAGGTGGGGATCCGGTAAACTGAGTCTGCCCTGGTTACTCTGGAAAGTCAGAGGAGCTTGGTTGAGGAGCGCCTTGGACGAGAAAGGATTCTGTTCCCAGTCTCTGAAGGAAGGCTCATTTTGGATGGGAGTACAGGGCTGTGATAAACAGTTTAAAGGGCAGAAAAACACAAACGGAATTATTTTGTAACTCAGCAGTTCTGCCTCCATGTCTACGCTCATAAAAGTTATAAGCAGACTCAAGCTTTTCTGTACTGGCACTCACAGCTGTGCGGTACACAGGGTGCCAAGGAGCCAGGGCCACTCAAGTATCCTCGGACCAACAGACAGAGAATAGGGGAAGCATTCGCAGAGTGGAAGACCGCTCATTCGTACACAGCTGTACCTCGAGGGTGTTACTCTAAGAAGACAAACCAGTCCCCCAAAGGACAGACCCTGCATGACTCCAGTTACAGGAGGGACCTAGGGTCCTCAAATCCGTGGGCAGAAAGTGGAACAGCGACTGTGAAGAGCTGGGGCGGGAGGAAGAAGGGGGACAGTTCTGGCTTGGGAAGATGAACATGGGTGGTGGTGACAGCTGTGTCACATCGTAAGTATATTTAACAAGTGTGAACAGAAGTGGGTGCATTTTTCTGTATATTTGGCCACAATTGGGAGGTTGTCTAGAGAAGAGCCATAGACGTGATTGTGCTTGTGTGACTGTGGGGGCTGTTGGGTCCTAAGAGCGGAGCGTGCCAGCATCCCCAGCCCGCTGTCCCCAGTTCCAGAACATTCATTTACAGTGGATAAGATGAAGGTTGGAATGAGGATGGGCCTGGGAAATGGAGGGGGAGCCTGCTGCCCCCCTTTCCTGGGAACTTGGGGCAAGGAAGTGACCTTACCTGGGACTGTGGGGACAGAGTCTCCCCAAGTCACAACCACAGCAGGGTTATCTGTTGCCGAACCCTATCCTGATTCCAACCAGCCTTCTGCTGTAAGCAGATGCCTACTTTTCCCTGGACAGACCACCAGGAAGGACAACTGACCCTGGAGGGAATCAGCCCTGCAGCAGAGAGGAACACTTAGTGTTTGCCGAGTTGCCCTGGAGCAATAGGAGGGGTGGGCTCTCTTAGGTCCTGCAGGCGGATTCTGCAGGGTTGGGGGGCTGGGGGGTGGGGCGGAGGGGTGGTATATGTGACTAAGAATACACCTGCTAAATGCAGTGCATGGAACACAGGACAGTGACTTCCTAGACAGGCAGTGAGGTGACAGCGTCTGTCTTCAGTTCACTGGCCAGCAGCGGAAGTCAAGAGATGTACCAAGGCATGTGAACCCTGTACGTCAATAGTGCCAAACACTTACCCAGCAGTTTGTCACGACTTCCCAGTACACCCTCTTCTACTTGAGCACTTACCAGCAGAGAAAGCAATTTAGATGTCCAGGCTGGGATTTTTTTTTCCCCTTGATTGAGACAGGGAATTACCGTGTAGCCCCTGCTGGCCTCAAATCCGAGATCCTCCTGCCTCACCCTCCTGAGAGTAGAGATCACAGACATGTGCCACCACACCTAGTTAAGGCTGGGATTCAAAGACCCTCAACATTTACTCGCTTGCTTTCCTGGGTCATTGAGGCAGGTGGGGGTAGCTCCAGGAGAGAAGTGTACAAAGCAGAGAGGGTCAGGTACTAAAGTGAGTGTTGGCTGTGGGAGACAGTCTCTAGGGACAGATGGGTGCTTGCGGGTGGGGGTAGAGAAGAGATGCTGTAGACCCCTAGTCTGACCTTTGGGTGTATACTCCAAGAGTGAGGAAAGTAAGAAACCTATCCATCGGAACCAACGCTCTGGATGATAGGTAACCAGATAACTGGTGCAGGGTCAAAGGGTAGCTATACTGCAAAAGGCTGCCAGCAAGGCACATAATCAATGCCTTTTGTACGTATGTTGGCTTACGGGCCCTCTATGGGGCTAGGAGGAAACCCTTAGAGCTCTCCCTAGCCAGCGCCCTGAATCTTCCCCTTTCCCAAGAACTAGACTAAGGAACTGTATCCAAGATGGCAGGGTTCTTCCTCCCTCTGCCCACCGCATCTCTTCCCGTGTTGGCAGTGACCAGTGCAGAGGGCAAGCGTGGCCTCGCACTGTGGGTAGAGGAGTTCTGAAAGCTGGGTAAGAGGCCCTAATGTGCAGGAGGTGACCTGAGAACTGTAGGATGGGTCTAGAAAGGAGTTATAGTGAAGACAAGTAACTATCGGCCAGGGAGACCCACAGGACATGGCGGGACACATGAAGAGAACCCCAGGTGTTGGTATAGCTGGGAGCACTGGTCTTCTTATTGATACTTTCATCTTACATTTGTTTATTATTTATGGTGTGTGTGTGTGTGTGTGTGTGTGTGTGTGTAGAGGTCAGAGGACAACTTGCAGAAGTCAGTTTTTTCCCAATGCATGGTTTCTAGGGATCAACAGGCGTGGCAGCAAAGGCCCTCATCGACTGAGCCATCTCTTCAGTCCTGTCAACATTTTCTTATGCAGGCATTTACCACTGTGTAATGTATAAAGGGCTTCTATACACACACACACACACACACACACACACACACACACACGCCCTGTCACACAAGCCACACATATAGAGACATGCACACAAGTACACACACACAC